ACAAGCCCAATAGTTCAAAAATTATTAAACTCTTCAGTGTCTAGGTAATATTATACACGATTGACGCCTGAAACCACCCCCTATAGAGCGTCTGGGTTTTGTTCCGATCCTTCTTGAGGTCTTTGACTCCGAACGGTGGGGATGCCGGGCTGCTGAAGCACCTGAGCCGCCTCCTGCGTCCGAACGGTGAGGACCGGGAGGGACTGACCAGTCCATTCGCCCCGATGGGGGCGCATGGAACATGCATGCCCCAAAGCCTAGGGCTCCAGTCGTACCTTCTAAGAAGGTGGGACTGGGGTGGGTTTAAAGGGTCCAAATACCTTCTGAGGAGGTACTTGGAGCCTTAGGGAAAAGCAACTTGAACCTGAATTTGATGAATCAACCGCCGAAGGTTGCCAAGATGGACCCGGAGTGGACTCCTTTTTAGAGGTGGAACTTACGGCGTCAATTCTCATTAAACCCCTCATCATTCAAGGTTGGTGCCCATGGTCGAGCAGTCGGTGCGCCCATGCCAAGATTGATTCAAAACCACGCGTTTGCGCTTGAAGAACGTCTTCAATCTATTGTCTGCAGACTTGTTTCACCATGCTATGCACTTGTCACCCCACTTGTCACCGCATTAGCAAAGAAACCGAGTGCGACTCATAAGTCCTGCCAAACATTCTTACTGAGGTGGGCGTTGCTCCCCTCCCCTCCAACCATGACATGCCGCACCGCGGTCCCGCTGACAACAAGTCTCTCAGCAAGCCAGGACTTAGGAGAAAGAAGCCCGTGACATCAAACAAAAGTATCAGGACCTTCAAGGGCTGTCCTGGCTGGAGGTCCCTTAGTAGTGTGGGAGCTTCCATTGGTGACCTAGTTGAAGGTGCTGGTAGGAATTCTCAAGTGTTGTGGATCTCGCATATGCCCCACGGGCCGAAGTGTGTTTGCCAAGAAAATGTACCTTTGCCAGGGATGTTCTTCATACCTGTTTGTGGGTCCTCCTTAAGATTCTTGGCTCAACCCCAAAGAGGTGGTTAATGTATACCTAGATTTCATTGCACTTGGGTCTCGACATCCTGATTAAGTCTTACACTCACTGAAACAAATAGATCATGAAACTCTCTATATACAAGTGGGGCCTGCTCAGCGTCCATGATTGTCTGAGGGAGGGTACTGATGTTGTTGGAAGTTGGTTGTTCTTGTTTCGTTGATCGTTGTGGGTTGCGGAGCAGGTCCTGACTGGTGAAGCAATCCCTTGCCCTACGGGGTTCCTAGAAACCAAGAGAAGTTGAGAGACCTGAACGTTCGGATCCTTTTTGGTGGTACATGTGGGTGGGCGATATATAGGGCTGTTCAACCTCTCTTGGAAAATAACGAATGACCCCAACATCTGAACCCGTCCCGCAACGAGTGGCGCCGCGCCTCCCATTGTGCACTCTGCAACAGCTCCAAATTCAGCACGCGCGTGCTCCGCGTGCTCCGCTCTGGCATCGTGAGCCATGGCGAGCTTAAGCGATGCAAAACAAAAGTTCCAGAATTGAACAATCCCCATGGGATTCCCAATCGGGGGGGCAACCTTGAAAGGGTTGGTCCACAGGCTTCCCGCAAAATCCTGCATGCTGCTGGATAAAGGGCTTGACCTTGGTCGACACGTCCCGCAATCTTGTCCCGTCAATCTTGTCACACCTTCAGCCATGGACGAGCACGCTCAATGCAGGTAGATATGGCAGTCCCATGGAGTGTCTGGGTACTGAATGTAGACTCTTGATCAATGAACACCCCCGACGAAGAGGTTTTACAAGCCAAATAGTTGGTCTTACTATGTTTTCCTATAACTTTACTAATCAAGAGTCTACATTATCTCCATTGTAGGCAATAAAACTGAACAATCACAACAACCCTCCAAGTTTCGATGCGACATGCTGCGCCGCCGAAACACATGGTTGATCGAGAATATCATCGCACTCAGCTTGTACAGCGACCCTCCTCAATTGATGCGTTTCTCGGACCCAACGGTAAAATTTGTTTCAAGACTACCCCTCAATTGCTTGAAAGCGATGTACCTGACTTTCCATGATTCAGGACCCCTGCTTCATGTTTTCCGGGAAGAAACCCATCGATGCCCGAGTGTGTTCAATTTGGCTCATGAGTTATGAACATGCTTTCCCTATGGCAGCAGTTGTGTTTTGTGGGTGATTTTCGTTCCTGCCAACTCCCTCTGTCCACCGCCTTTTTGCTGGTTCCACGCGGCAAAAATGGCATCGATGGCGCCAGGGCTTGGCCCAGGCGGAGCGGCGAGGAGTGAAACGGGAAGGACGCGTGGCACGAGGAGGACGCGTATATATTCCCATAATCTGAGATTCTGTGATCATCTGCCATTGGAACTGCATTATAGAATAGGGGAGACCTTCAAAGGCCCCTGTAGAAAGACCACCGTATAGATAAACGACCTACAGAAACACGGGGACTTGGGGGGGAGTTTGGAGGTCTCCCTATGTCTCCCTACTGGTCATACAAACCCGAAATGCCGGTGGATCAGCCCCTGGAGTTCGACCTCACTCAAGCCACTTGGCGCCGCTGCGCCTCGGAAGCCCGACGGACTTCGTGTGGGTGGTATAAAGTCTCAAAGGCACCGGGAATCCGATGTTTCACATCGCATGTGACGGATGTGTTTGTTCCGCCAGACCAGTGCTTTTTGCTTCAGGTTCCATGAGTTCCGTGGGTCTCTTCCAGGGCGTATTCATGTGGGTTCCGTGGGGAAGTGCCCTAAGACTTTGGGGCCCAAACCCATGGAAAGGGTGGTGTTCAACCGTGAAATGGTTCCGGGCATACCCTCGGTTTGGTCACACACATGGCACGAGTGGCATGGTTCGAACGTGTCACCAGTTCTTTTTAACTAAATGGACTAGTACTGATCGCACAATAGTCTAACATGCATCAGTGACATCTCTGGATGCGGGCGGTCTCCGTGACAGCAATTGCCCGCCCCGGACCCGTCGCCGTTCCCCTCGGACGCTGCACCGCTTCGGAACCCTCTGGTTCTGGCGTTTTTTTTCGGAACGGGGGTCAGGGAAGTCCCTGATGCACCCAAAAAGATCTTCCAAAGCTTCCGGAGTCACAGACCTCCAGATCCCCTCGGCTCCTCCCCTAGCGCACCTGTCTGGCTGACCTGGCAATGCAGCGGATTTAGGTTGGAAACAGGTTCCCTCCCTCAAAGCTAGTAGTCAGTTAGTCGTCGTTTCAAGAGCCGGAGGACCGCAGTCATTGCCATGACCATGAACTGAAGGCAACACAGGTCTGTGTGACCCCGGCACGCTCGAGGTAGTTGCGGCCTCAGTGGCTCCAGCACACACGTGGAAGGTAAAGCAGAACCTTTTAGATGGAAAGGTCTCTCTCTCTCTCTCTATTTCTCTCTCGTGGTTCCCTTTCAGGGTGCACCATCTCCTTCCACACCTGCAAGGTCAAAGCAGGCAATGCTTCTTTCGCCTCCTGGCCCCCTCTGTAGCGCAAGTCTACTGCAGAACATGCGCAAGGGATTGGCCGGGCCAAACGCCACACCGACACAAACGCCGCAGCACACTCACAGGAGAATTTGCAATCGGAGCATGTTCAATTGGAAGTTCGTTCATCGCGGCAACCATCCTGAGAAAATTAATCGCTTAAACCTTAAACCAAGAGCAGCTGCAAAGCTTGTGCTTTTCTGTAGGCAAGAAGGATGACTTTCTCATATCTGCTTCATTATACAACCTCGGAGGCCAACATTTTCTGAGTCGTTCCGGATGATGCCTGGGCTTGTCAGCAGAACCTAGCACCTAGCATTCCATAAAGCCTCAGACCTATATTTAGCTTCTACCAGCACCCTCGAACAGGTCTCCTCTGCAGGCTTTTCTAGACTTAAAAGTCGCAGGTGGTGACCTGTTGGAGGGTCCTGGTAGAAGATCCTGTCCAAATCTCAGCCGTTGCTCTTTAAATGAAAAGGCCTAAACATGGACCCTGACAAACCACTGGGTGGTTTGCATGAGAATAGGCTCACCCTCGGGTCGACAGGTTGATGGTCCATGGGAGCACCCCAAAATGACCTTTTGAAGGTTCCTAAGCGACCCTTAGGAGTTAGGAGGCTTAAGTGACCGAACCAACCAGGTGATCAAGTACGGTCACGAACTGAAGAACCAGGCTGATGTTGATGTTCCTGTTGATGACAGGTCGGCTTCCATCTAGCTGAAAGTCGCCCTCAGAAGGTATGACTGGAGGCCTAGGGCCATGAAAAGTTGGTCCACCAAAGATCCCGTGGTTTTGATTCACAGCCATACACCACAGCCATACAGTTGACCCCTGACGTGGCGATGTGTCGCCGTGGCGGGTTGACCCCCCTGCGTGGGCGGCTGGCGGCTGGCACTCAAAGAGATGTCACAAGCCTAGCTGCGTTAGCATCATGTCAAGGGATGAACGAGTTGCGCCACCGAACTGAAAGGAACCAGACCCCCAACGACAAGCGACGACCATCAAGTGGTCCAGGGACCACTTTTAAGACCAGCAGGGTTGGAAAGGCTTGAAAAGGAGGTGGAATGAGCCGAATGGACACTTAACAATCATGACCCGCTTGGGTACAGGGGAGGAGTTAAGTCACATCCACCGCTTGGGTACGCTGCAAATGAGCAAAAGTCACATCAGGGTGGCGAAAAGGTCACATCAGGTCAACATAGAACTGCAAGCAGTACGCGAAGGCCGCGAAGGGATGCAACAACTTGTGTCAGGCACATTGCATGTTAAATCCCAATAAGAATGCATGTAAAACAGCTGCACCTGTTGATGTCATGTCATGGGCATTCGAAGCGATTCGCGCGGCGTGGCCGCCGCCCGAATCGGGCGCGTGAGCTCCAAGCCAAGGAGGGGAGCTCGATGGTGGTCGCCGCCTGAGTGACTCAAAGAGGAGGGAGCAGTGACTGACTCGACCCGAAATGATCGACCTGGATCATGACCCTATCAACAAAAACAGGTACTTGTACCCATTTTCTGAGGTACTTTATTACTTTGAGACTGTCAAATCGAAAGACATTCCAGGTATATAAGTCGATCGTTCGTTCTGTAAGTATGCTGCAATGACCCACTGCCATATATAGATGACGATAAAAAGTATACGAGCTATTTCCAGGTCCCAGTGGATGGTGACTCGAGTCCTTCTCATACTGAGATCCCCAACCATCCTCGGCCCCTTTACTGGAATGGATCCATCTGGACTGGGCTCGGCACATTCCATCTTGTTGCTCCACCCGGCCCTGCCCGAGACCCGATCGTGGCAGCCCAAAGAGCAACCTATCTGGGACTGCCATGTGGAAAGGGATGACTTTGGGTATATGCATGATCATGTTCCAGTCCCATCAACTGTCTGTGTATCACGTAGCTACAGTAGTTTCCGTCAACGAGCATGGAGGGTTGCTTCGAATTCCGATAGAATCTGGAGGATATGAGCTTGTGTATTGACGTTTTGTACGAGTTGGGACTTCAAGAATTTGTGCAAGAGAAGGGCATTCCCCAGTATTTTTTGTGATGCTAAATTCAGTTACATACTGGACAACAACCACGCCATGTCGTCTGGCATTTCAGCATCCTTTTGGAAGGTAATGGGTTGGATCATCGGCATAGCAGTTTGAGGGAAGTCTTTCACCCAAATATGAACGTGGGAACAGTTCACTTGCTGTAAGGGTTTCAGCATCCACCTAAGCTGTCCCCTTTTACCGGACCCTTGTTGTCAATCCAACATGGACGCCAAGCGCAGCGAGAGAGTCAGGATGAGGCATATGCCATCTGACATTCTCACCCGGGCAGTTCTACTGAGTCTATGTACTGGCAAGAGCAAGCTGAATGAGTACAATTCTTGAGTATAATCGGAGAGCCAACATGTGCCAAACGAATGGGACATTTTCCATTGCTGGACTCCACATTCCTCATGACGGGTACTGGCCCCCCCCCAATAGAAAACACATGGACCGACTCCATCACCTCTTTGTATCCCAAGAATCCATCTGACCGCCATCCAGGCTGGCTCGCCTCATCTGCTAAGCTGGAACTCGAACTCGCCGGAGGAGATCCCAGGAGTCATGGCTGGTGCTTTTGATCGCTAATCCCACTTGGGTCCGACCCCGGCTCGGACCCCGCGCCTGATCCTTTAGGTATAGCCCTGGCTAGGCTTAGCACATGTGGTGACCTGGAGATGGTGGTTGTATAGTGGATATCGACCCACCACGGTGACGATTCCTCCTTCACCTCGCCTCCAGAGTGCTCCAGGTGTCCTGCGATCCAGACGTAACGGAGCGTGAACAGCGGAGGCAGCGGAGCCGTTAAGGGCGGCAACAGAGAGCCATCGGAACAGTGACCACTTTTAAAAACCTATGTATTGTATAATCAAATGTTCATCAACATCTGGTGGCTCTTACAAAACGACATGCCCATTCATTACATACATCACATTAATACAGCAATCAAACCAGTGATATATTGCTG